CCCACACACCTCACCGCTCTAAAGGGAGCGAGGCTACTTCTCCTACAAGCGATGCCAACTTCAGCGTATGGCAACGCAAAGAATTAATTCCAAACACTGACTATTCAAAACAATTCATATCACTCAAACATACACAGGTCCTTAACCAGAAGCGAACACTCAAGTCCGTGAACCATCTGGCTGTGGAAGCATCGATCGTGTGATAACAGTCCATCATTTATAATTATATTCATAATTTCCCTCTTTAATATTTTGTTTTGGACGGTACTTCTAATCGCATAAGTTACCAACCGATTCATCAATACGAATTAACCCTTGGCACCTTCGCCACGGAGCTACGCTCCCGGGGAGGAATCGTGCTAAACCGATTTTCTGATCATACAATCTTATTCACGAATTAATTAATTAATCTCCCGTGAGATAACCGTTGCATGTTAATCAATCGCCTGTGATAATGTGCTGACCATTTCAAGCATAATGATCGTTCATATTATAATGCATAAGCTTTTGTGTAGCATAGCATTTGCATGTCCTGACTCTCTCTCTCACTAACAGCAATCGCTTTATGCGGGGTCCATGTGTTATCAAAGTGAAATCGTACAGTCGTTGATGATACTGTCTTGATACCGTGTGGATACCGTGTTGAAGTTCCGAGATTGAGAGTTCACATACATATTATAGTTAAGGTTTAATTAGAAAATAAATTTATTAATACAGAAGTGGTCGTGTGATTATTTCCTGAAATTTTTGCATAAGATCTGTATCCTGCGACGAGATAGGAACTCGGGAACCTAAACTATAAACACACCAATCCACACTCATTAAACTAAAGCGAACGATATGAACATGGGACCTAAAATATGAACACTCGGGGAGTGTTAAAGCGAGAATCATTGTATTATGCTGATCAATAATACGAAGTTAGACAACGAGGCCAAATTGACACTAGCGTAGCTGCACACGATTGATTGCGTTATCCTGATTGATAACCCCACCTCGTCAACGAGGCGGGGCCTGATTATCATAAAGGCTATCATTAACACAACCACACCCACTCGTATAAATTAATACGATTACCTCTCTAATTAGCATAGTTACACGCATAATTACACGAATTAGCATAATTTTTCGGATTAATTATGCAAATTTCGAATTTCATTTAATTTTAATTATTTTTCATCAATTTTCACACACCCACATATACAACAATATGTAACAGACGAAAGTGCCACTGGTACATCTTCTTGGTTCTTTCGGTAAAGTCACGTAGAATGAGAATAAAACAATAAACAGAATAAGACAACAAAATTCTCACGACGTTTCGGCCACAACACAACTATCCTTCTTCAGGTGAAGGAACAGAACTGTCGGGACAACAGCACTTCAATGAACGCTGCTAAGATTCTCAGCGTCTTTTAAGCTAGGTGAGAGAAGTAAAGCGCGCCTTGACAAAGGAGTTTACATATCAAACAGGAGAATTTAGCATTGAAATAACTGTGTTAAAGTGATGGATCAGCAGGGTGTTAAAGTCAGAAATTAGCATGTAACTGGGAGATTAGCATGATGTTAATGTGAGGGATTAGCATGTGACTGGTCACGGAAATAGCTATGTTAAAGTCAAAGTTTACATATCAACAGAGGCATTTAGTATATGGACGCTAAAGGACTGCAACTACCCAACTATCATACAATAAACCGATGTGAAGAAACTAAGTATAAACTACATCAATATAATAAATGTACTCAATATATTCTTCAATAAGTTGAGCTATTAACATAAAGTAACTGGGTATACACTACACTATGTAATGAATACCATATAAACTAATAAAAAAACTAAAATATAAACTACATCAATGTTATCAATAAACTCTATATACTCTCCAATCAGCTGAGCTACTAACAATACGTCATTATACATTACAATGCCATATGGCGAAAAAATGGGTGGCGGTTTTTTCTTTTCAACGTTCGCACCACGGACAGCGACGAGCTTTGTTCAGACGGACGAGTCCAGCTATGCTTGGAATGGAGGAGGGGGGAGAAACAGCCACGATGCGCTGTTATACTCCATGTTATAAACCATACCATTAACCGTTGTGTGAGAGGTATTGAGGCAATGCCAGCGAAAGAGCTGCGGTCTGAAGGTCACCATAAAATACAATTAATTAAGAACCGAAATGGTTAAAACATATTTCCAATGGTTACTAAGCCAGAATCCATCTTCTCGGTTGAAATTTTCTCTGTGCTTGTATATGTGGATGGCCTCATGAATGAATCTCTCATGGTAGCCGGTTGGCTTGCAAAGAACCTCCGTCTTGGAGAAGTCCATGTCATGTGAGCCCACTGAATTATAACAGTGATCTGCCACGGCAGAGGAGTTCGTTCTACCGTGTTTCAAGTCTGCTTTATGTTCGCGGATGCGGTCCGCTGCAGACGTAGCAAGATCTGAAATCGCTGCAACCCTCAAAAACGCTAAAATGCCACCTAGAAACATCAGCAAAGATGAGCGTTTTGAATTACCTCAATTAAAAAAGAGAGATGACATTGTCATCCTCTCAGCCGACAAGGGCAATGCCACTGTCATCATGGACAAAATAGAATATAACAAAATTCAAGAACTACTCAACGATGGCAGCTATACAAAAATAAGAAGAGAGCCCACCAACAACCTGGTAACCAAAACGAACAAAATCATCTCTGATTCAACAGCATTAATTGATGAGACCAAACAGTTCTCGTTGAAACCCTCTGCTGCCAGACCACCAAGATTATATGGCCTTCCAAAGATACACAAAGAAGATACACCCCTTCGTCCCATCGTCTCCACTATGAACTCCCCCACCTACAAACTGGCGCGTTTTCTGGCTGATATACTGCGACCTTTCACTGGAAAAACCACCTCTGCGGTACTAAATTCTACTCACCTGGTATCGACAATCAAGGGCATTTCCCTGTCCCCAGACGACCTGCTTGTCAGTTTTGATGTGATGTTCCGATACCTGACACCATCGCAATCATTGAAGACCTGGTTCATCAAGGACTACATATGGAGGTACCCCCCCTTGTGAGACATTGCTTAACACATACTTCACCTGGAATGGAACTTTCTACAAACAGACTGATGGCACCCCTATGGGCTCCCCCCTATCTCCAGTTGTAGCCAACGTGTTAATCGAAAAATATGAAACTGACGCCATCCAGACTGCCACTCTACGCCCGACCTTATGAAAGAGGTATGTAGATGACACCTTTGTTATCTGGCCACATGGCTTACCTGCTCTAGACTAATTCCTCGACCACATAAACTCCATACACCCAGCCATCAGATTTACCATGGAGGTCAAAAAAGAAGGCAAGCTACCCTTTTTGAATGTCTTAATTAAAAGGAGACCTGATGGTTCAATGAGCCACTCGGTCTACAGGAAAGCGACCCATACGGATGCTTACTTAAAACCGGATTCCCACCACCATCCATCCCAGAAGAACTCTGTCATCAAGACTCTATACCATAGAGCCCAATGCATTTCCGACCAGGATCACATTGCCAGTGAACTCAAACACGTACACCAAGCTCTCAAGGCTAATGGTTACTCCGACTACACAATCTGCAACGCCATCACTCCAGTCATGAAGAAGGATCCCCTTGAGGAACTATTCAAAACCATCACCTTACCCTACATTGCGGAGGCCACAAAAAAGATCTCCAAAATCTTGAACAAACACAAGATCCAGGTCCGATTCAACAGTACATAAAATCCGTGATCTGGTTCCATCTGTAAAAGATGATGTTCCAGACATACAGTACCCGGGCGTTTACAAACTAAAGTGCCTCTGTGGTAGCAGCTACATTGGAGAAACCAAACGACATATCTCGGACCGCATCCGCGAACATAAAGCAGACTTGAAACACGGTAGGACGAACTCCTCTGCCGTGGCAGATCACTGTTATAATTCAGTGGGCTCACATGACATTGACTTCTCCAAGACGGAGGTTCTTTGCAAGCCAACCGGCTACCATGAAAGATTCGTTCACGAGGCCATCCACATATACAAGCACAGAGACAATGTCAACCGAGAAGATGGATTCTGGCTTAGTCACCATTGGAAAGATGTTTTAACCATTTCGGTTCTTAATTAATTGTATTTAACGGTGACCTTCAGACCGCAGCTCTTTCGCTGGCATTGCCTCTTAATACCTCTCACACCACGGTTAATGGTATGGTTTATAACATGGAGTATAACAGCGCATCGTGGCTGTTTCTCCCCCCTCCTCCATTCCAAGCATAGCTGGACTCGTCCGTCTGAACAAAGCTCGTCGCTGTCCGTGGTGCGAACGTTGAAAAGAAAAAACCGCCACCCATTTTTTCGCCATATGGCATTGTAATGTATAACGACTTTTTGTTAGCTCAGCTGATTGGAGAGTATATAGAGTTCATTGATAAGATTGGTGTAGTTTATATTGAATTTTTTATTAGTTTACTATATGGTATTCAATATATAGTGTAGTGTATACCCAATTAGTTTATGTTAATAGCTCAACTTATTGAAGAATAAATTGAGTACATTTATTATATTGACGTAGTTTATACTTAGTTTTTTTCACATTGGTTTATTGTATGATAGTTGGGTAGTAGCAGTCCTTTAGCGTCCATATACTAAATGCCTCTGTTGATATGTAAACTTTGACTTTAACATAGCTATTTCCGTGACCAGTCACATGCTAATCCCTCACATTAACATCATGCTAATCTCCCAGTTACATGCTAATTTCTGACTTTAACATCCTGCTGATCCACTTTATCACAGCTATTTCAATGCTAAATTATCCTGTTTGATATGTAAACTCCTTTGTCAAGGCGCTTTACTTCTCCCACCTAGCTTAAAAGACGCTGCAAATCTTAGCAGCGTTCATTCAAGCGCTGTCGTCCCGACAGTTCTGTTCCTTCACCTGAAGAAGGCTACTTGTGTTGTGGCCGAAACGTCGTGAGAATTTCATTGTCTTATTGTTTTATTACTTTATTCTCATTCTACGTGACTTTACCGAAAGAATCAAGAAGATGAATCCTTGCAGTCACCAAAGCTTTAAATCGAAAAATTCCACTGGTACAGTTTTAGAAAGCTTCTCGAACTTCACAGTCAAAAAATGTTAAGTGTCAGAGCAAGAGAATATTGCTGTTACACATAAAGCTATACGCATTTATAAACACTCTAGGTGTGATGTCATGCATTTTCACTATCATTAGCCCAGCACCTGGCCTGCCTTGGTCACGAGCCAGATTCAGATGGCGTAGCATTGTTTGGTTCTGGCTCAGCTCAGTATTTAACCAGTGGAAAAACAAAGCATACCGTAATGGCCTCGTGCTGACTAGCTTGGATTTTCCAGTGAAAAGGGGTAAAGTGGTGCAAAGCTGCATTCTAACCATCTATCCTCCAGCAAGAAATGCATGAAGGTTATCAGACACATGTTTCCCTAGCCCCCTGTGTTATAAAGATACACAAATTATTTGGCGATACTGAATATGCATTGCCAGTGTTATTGACAAATGTGTTTATTCTTTTTCGCTATAAGTTTGCGCTCAGTTGACCATGAGCCAGTACACATACGTAAAGCAAAAAACCCACGCCCCAAAAAGTGAGCATGCATATACGACAAATAAGTAATCAAAATTACTGGGCCATATCCTTTAACGTATGAAAAGTGAGCCCATAAAAAAAATTACTCGCAGAATGCAATTAAAATATTTTGACTCCCTTAAAACCAACAACAATATTAATGTGAATATATTATTGTTCAAATAGTGCATGAACTTAACAAAAATAACGAAAATAAGTTGTTTTAATCATTTGTAAAAACATACCAGGGGCTCATCCCACATGACATCTTCCTCCTGCTCATCTTGGTCACCGTTCCCCCCAAACCCCTCCGTAGCTGCCACATCATCATCTTCCTCCTCCCTCCATTCGCCAAGAGCGCCCAGAGCTGCACCCTTCCCCTCTCCTGAGTCCTCCGCTTGAAGAGCGTGAACCGCCACGCTCTCAAAAAAGCGTGACAATTCTCTCACTTGGATCCGGCCTTCAGTGCTCGTTGGCTTTCTCTCGCCTTCCACGGGCCCTTGCCCCTGGGAATGTCAGGTAATATACATTTAAGATCTCGTTATTACTTTACGATTTCATACCCCAACTCTTCAAGAGATATTTAATGGACCCTAACCCAAAGCGTTGAACACAATTATGGAACGAATATGAAGCAACCTACCCACATGGAGTTGAGTTGCACGAACCACTAAAGTGATGCCACCACAGGTGGTACCAACAAGTGAAAAATCCGGTCTGGGCTCACGGACTATGTAAATCAGTAAACTACTGTAGTCCCAAGCCCTGACAGAGTGTTGTTGTTGTTGGTGGTGCTGCTGTGTAGACCTGTGGGCTGCACTGCTCCCTGCCGAGAGGCTCAGCCGACACCAAAAGAGCCTCCAGAGAGCCCTGCTGCTCTGTGTAGATGTCCACTTGGAGGGGCAGTGACGCTTCATTGTAGGGCACCTTCAAGCACATGACACAAACGCATGCACACACACGGCACAAACGCACGGCACAAATGCGCACGCACGGCACAAACGCGCACGCATATACACGGTACAAACGCACGCATGGCACAAACGCGCACGCACGGCATGGCACAAACGCGCACGCACGGCATGACACAAACGCACACGCACAGCACAAATGCGAGCGCACGGCATGGCACAAACGCGCACGCACAGCACAAACGCGCACGCACAGCACAAACGCGCGCGCATGGCACAAACGCGAGCGCACGGCACAAGTGCGCGCACAGCATGGCACGGCATGGCATACATGTATGCACGGCACGCACGGCATGGCACAAACGCGCACGCAAGGCACAAACGCGCGCACGCACGGTACAAACGCGCGCACGCACGGCACAAACGCGCGCACGCACGGCACAAACGCGCGCACGCTCGGCACAAACGCGAGCACGCACGGCACAAACGTGCACGCACACACGGCAAAACCGCGCAAGCACGCACACACGGCACAAACGCACATGCACGCACGGCACAAACGCGCACGTACGCACAACACAAACGCACACACGGCACACACACTTGACATTTGTTACCGGACTCAAAGTTGTCAGCAGATTTAAAACAAAAAATATTCCACATTTTGTTGGTGACAGTATGGCTCGTTTTAATTAATTACATCAGAATAGTCGCCAAAAAATTACTGATAATTTAAAAACAATGTAATAAAAAACGTGGCAGTCCACTATGTATTTAAAGGTGAACCAAGCTATTTACGATGTAAATGTGTACAGTGTGGTTGTGTATCTCTTTATCAATGGTTTCTCATTCGCGTACCTGTGGCGGAAACTCTTAAAACATTCTGTTGCTATTCATCAAAATAGTTTGCAACGTGCACAATGTTTTTTTCCAGGTCCCTCTTGCAAACAAAAATAATACATTACTTAATTGGGGTCTTCACCGAGCTGGTTTTAATCCCAGCCGGTGGTTTGCCGCAAACGGGTGTGGAATTATAGGGCAAGGGCAGGCTGAGACTAGGAGAATAGGCCTCGCTTTCCATGAAGTTCATGAAGTATGGACCCTAAGCAGCAGTTGAGGTTTTACAGGTGTTGCCTTCACCACCTGAACACACTTCTTCACTGGTGGGAAACCCCGGATAAATAAAAAAAGATCGGCCATCACAGACAAATCAATGCACTGTGTGAGTGTGCACTTGTGTGGTAGTGTCGTGATTAGCGAGCTGCGCTACAAACCCGGTGACCCGAGTTCACTTCCCACTTGCGACCAACACCAGTGACGATTATCTGAACCGATACTCATAAGTACCTGGTGCGGTGTGTAAAACATCGCCGCTAGGGAGACAAAGGTGGCCGGGCATTGTGCTGGCAACCCACCCCCTTGTGTGCCATGCCAGCCTTCATAGATAGTCGTTAACAGCACTTGCCCCAACAATCTGTTAAGGCTACACGGGGGATCTTTGTCTAGTGCACTTGCGCCCAAGTTATCGGAGTCGTTGCTGATTGTAAACAAAGCCAATGCTGCAACCTGGGCAATGCAGTTGGCTGCAAAGAGGCCATGTCCATCGTGATGAATCATGTTGAGGACAATTCTCCTGATCTGTTTGCGTGTACAGGCACATGGATGTCACCGTGAAGGCTGCTCATTTTCCTTCCAAGTACCTTCAGTGTCATGCTCACAGTTTGTCCACACAGCATTCTGGAGAGGTATTCAACCACCTCGACCTTCTGTCCGTCCCCTTCATCCTGGAAGCACATTGTCACAACAATGCCGCAGTAACCAACATATCTTATCAGCATCTTCATGAAAAATGCGGGGGCTCTAAATGTGCGCCATGTGAACTCTTGGTTAATATTTAACTTTCATGTTACTGTGCTTAAAAAACAGAGAAAATATCAAGTTGTTGCTCGTACACATTATAAATACAGCATTCAAAGCTGATATACTGCACTGTAAAGGCTACCAAAATAAAATAAATAAGACATGGTACATACATAACATGTACCCATGTGCATATATACCCAATGGTCACTGGAACACATGTGACATAGGAAATGGACATTCTACTCGGATGCAAAATACTTCAGTAGACGGTTATTAATCCATTTAAACTCGCAAAGACTGCATCTGCACAGTTAGAGATAGCTTCCACCTACCGACACCTTCTGTATATACAAAGTGAATATCCCAAGTATAAATTTAAGCGTTGGCAATTGGAACTACTTTTGGGCGGCAGTGTATAAACTAGTAGTACCACACTTGTCTGTTCCTCACAGCAAACACCTGGGTGGGGGGTTCCATTCCCAACTTGGGCACCTCTCCGTGTGTGGAGTTCGTATATTCTCTCTCTCCACCCTTATCCTGTATGGGTTTCCTCCGGGTTCTCCGGTTTATTCACATAAACCAAAGCACACACAATGTAACCGGGACAGTAATTCCTTGATTAAGGGTGACATTAGTTAACGTTTTTTGCGGTTAACGTTTCGCTTCCCATAAGATCCATGGTTTCGAGTCACGTTAACATTGTTGACTAACGGTAACATATTCTTGGTTCTTTCGGTAAAGTTACGTAGAAGGGAAACAACAACAAAATTTCGGCCAATCCGAGTGCTCGTAAGTGGGCTGCACCATGTCCTCAGCCAATCAGTGACGTCCATTTATGAGCCGTTCAGTAGTTCATTGCCTTTTTTCCTTTTAACATGTCATTCCTATATTTAATGAACAGTTATCTTGGTTCAATCTTGATTTGAAGCTTTCGTGACTGCAGGAATCCATACTCTTTGGTTCTTTCAGTAAAGTCACGTAGGTAGAAAAATAAAATAAAAAAATAATATATCATGACGTTTCAATCGCAACACAAGCGGTCGTCCTCAGGCGGAAAAAATAATCCAGCAGTGGAACTGCTGAACCAGGAAGAAACACAGCGAGAGAGCTGTTACAACAAGACGTTATATATGTGGCGAAGGGCAAGCAGGCGGGGTCTGAGCTGGAAAGGAATTCCATCCCCGCACGCAAGCACATCAGTTGTGTTAATGGGGGAGATTAGGGAGAGATTAGGGAGAGATATTAGCATGAAATGAGCTTCCGTCGCATAAGAGTATCGCCCCCGCATATGCGCACAACAGTGTTAATGGGAGATGGCGCCGATGATGGCAGCCTCGGCCGGTTGGTGCGCCCTGTTTTGTCCAGTTTTGTCTTGTTTTGTCTTGAGAGGGGCTTGCTGTTCAACACACTCGTGCTGGTGAGAGAGGCCTGCTTTTCATCACACCCGTGCTGGTGAGAGAGGCCTGCTGTTTTGGGGCCTGCTGTTCATCACACCCGTGCTGGTGAGAGAGGCCTGCTGTTCAGTACACCCGTGTTGAGGGGCCTGCTGTTCAACACACCCGTGCTGGTGAGAGGGGCCTGCTTTTCAGCACACCCTTGCTGGTGAGAGAGGCCTGCTGTTCAACACACCCGTGCTGGTGAGAGGGGCCTGCTTTTCAGCACACCCGTGCTGGTGAGAGAGGCCTGCTGTTCAACACACCCGTGCTGGTGAGAGGGGCCTGCTTTTCAGCACACCCGTGCTGGTGAGAGGGGCCTGCTGTTCAGCACACCCGTGCTGGTGAGAGAGGCCTGCTGTTCAGCTCACACGTGTTGAGGGGCCTGCTGTTCAGCACACCCGTGCTGGTGAGAGGGGCCTGCTGTTCATCACATCCGTGTTGGTGAGAGGGGCCTGCTGTTCAGCACACCGGTGCTGGTGAGAGAGGCCTGCTGTTCAGCACACCCGTGTTGAGGGGCCTGCTGTTCAGCACACCCGTGCTGGTGAGAGGGGCCTGCTGTTGAGGGGCCTACTGTTCAGCACACCCGTGTTGGTGAGAGAGGCCTGCTGTTCAGCACACCCGTGTTGAGGGGCCTACTGTTCAGCACACCCGTGCTGGTGAGAGGGGCCTGCTGTTCAACAGACCCGTGCTGGTGAGAGGGGCCTGCTGTTCAACACACCCGTGTTGAGGGGCCTACTGTTCAGCACACCCGTGCTGGTGAGAGGGGCCTGCTGTTCAACAGACCCGTGCTGGTGAGAGGGGCCTGCTGTTCAGCACACCCGTGTTGAGGGGCCTACTGTTCAGCACACCCGTGCTGGTGAGAGGGGCCTGCTGTTCAACACACCCGTGCTGGTGAGAGGGGCCTGCTGTTCAACACACCCGTGCTGGTGAGAGGGGCCTGCTGTTCAACACACCCGTGCTGGTGAGAGGGGCCTGCTGTTCATCACACCCGTGCTGGTGAGAGAGGCCTACTATTCATCACACCCGTGCTGGTGTGAGGGGCGTGCTGTTCATCACCCCCGTGTTGGTGAGAGGGGCCTGCTGTTCACTCCCATGCTGGTGAGAGAGGCCTACTGTTCATCACACCTGTGTTGGTGAGAGGGGCCTGCTGTTCACCACTCCCATGCTGGTGAGAGGGGCCTACTGTTCAACACACCAGTGCTGGTGAGAGAGTCCTGCTGTTCATCACACCAGTGCTGGTGAGAGAGGCCTGCTGTTCAGCACACCCGTGCTGGTGCGAAGATGGCGCTGATGATGGTAGCCTCAGCCGGTCGGTGCGCCCTGTTTTGTCTTGTTTTGTCTGTCAATTCAGTGTTTTGCCAAGATTTTCGGAGTTCTCTAACAAGAGACGAACTTTTAAATATCAGGGAAACAACTCCTGTGGATTTAATTCCTACTTTTCTGCTTCCAGCGGCAGAATTAGTAGGCATTCTAGTCAATGCCGCGCTAGGCTTTGCTCAAGCGACGAAACGCCGCCCAAGGGGTAAACGGTCGGGGGCTCTAGTACGGCTACGCAGACGCGGGATCCGAACAGTGCTTCCGAGCTTTTTCCTCTCCAACGTACGTTCACTGTGCAACAAAATGGATGAACTTCAGCTACTGATGGTAAAAAACAAAGACTTTCTTTCAGCTTCTGCATTGTGCTTCACGGAAACATGGCTGTGTGATTTGATTCCGGACACTTCGCTACAACTAGCAGGATTCCATCTTGTAAGATCGGATCGTGACATAGCACTCTCCGGCAAGACGAAAGGCGGTGGTATTTGTTTTTACATTAACAGTGGCTGGTGTGTAGATGTCACAGTGATTCTGCAACATTGTTCTCCACTCCTTGAATCAATTTTTATAACCTGTAAACCGTTTTACTCGCCTCGCGAGTTCGCGTCGCTCATTTTGGTCGGAGTTTATTTGCCGCCTTGTCCTCAGGTTAAAGAGGCCCAACGCATGCTCGCCGATCAGATTCTGAGTGTGGAGCGAGCAAATCCAGATTCGTTGGTTATCGTACTTGGCGACTTTAACAAAGGTAATCTCAGCCACGAACTCCCCAAATACATACAATTCATTAAATGCCCAACCAGAGAAGGGAACACTCTGGATCACTGTTACACTACAGTCAGTAGAGCCTACCACGCCGTCCCCCGAGCAGCACTAGGACACTCTGACCATGCCATGGTCCACCTGATTCCTGCATACAGGCAGAAACTAAAACTCTGTAAACCTGCTGTGAGGACATCTAAACAGTGGACCAGTGAGGCTGTGGAAGATTTGCGGGCGTGCTTAGACTGTACTGACTGGGATATGTTCACGACTGCTACCAATAGTCTGGATGAACTCACAGAGGCTGTGACGTCCTACATCAGCTTCTGTGAGGACTGCTGTATCCCAACACGTACCAGGGTGAACTTTAACAACAATAAGCCCTGGTTCTCAGCAAAGCTCAGAAGGTTGAGGTTGGAGAAGGAGGAAGCGTTTAGGAGTGGAGATAGAGACAGATTCAAGGAGTCGAAGAACAGGTTTAGCAAAGCGGTGAGAGAGGCTAAACGACTGTACTCAGAGAGACTAAAACACCAGTTCTCTACAAACGACGCTGCTTCTGTCTGGAGAGGGCTCAGGCAGATCACCAACTACAAACCCAGAGCCCACCACACCACTAACGACTCCCGCCTAGCCAACGACCTGAACGAGTTCTACTGTAGATTTGAAAGACAATTGGACTGTCCTGAACCACCCCTTCCAACCCAAGAGGCCCCATCCCCCACCAATACTACAGAGACGACTATCTCCTTTCAGGAGGGAGAAGTTAATAGACTTTTCAAGAGGCAGAATCCACGCAAAGCAGCCGGGCCGGACTCTGTCTCTCCAGCCACCCTCAGGCACTGTGCTGACCAGCTGTCTCCGGTGTTCACCAACATCTTTAACACCTCCCTGGAGACATGCCATGTACCAGCCTGTCTCAAGTCCTCCACCATCATCCCTGTGCCCAAAAAGCTAAGGCCAACAGGACTAAATGATTACAGACCGGTCGCCCTTACATCTGTGGTAATGAAGTCTTTTGAGCGCCTGGTCCTGGCACACCTCAAAGCCATCACAGACCCTCTCCTGGACCCGCTTCAGTTTGCCTACAGAGCCAACAGGTCTGTGGACGATGCAGTTAACATGGCCCTCCACTCCACCCTACAGCATCTGGACGCCCCAGCATCCTACGCCAGGATCCTGTTTGTGGACTTCAGCTCTGCCTTCAACACCATCATCCCTGCCCTGCTTCAGGACAAGCTCTTCCAGCTGAACGTGCCATACACCACCTGTAAATGGATCACAGACTTCCTGTCTGACAGGAAGCAGTGCGTTAAGCTGGGAACACAAGTCTCTGACTCCAGGTCCATCAGCACCGGAACTCCTCAGGGCTGCGTCCTTTCCCCTCTGCTCTTCTCCCTGTATACCAACAG